AAGGGACCCAAGATAGCCGCACCAGGACCCTCACCCTGCTGTGAGCAGCACCAAAAGATGCTGCTGGACTTGGGAAAAGCGTTGTTTAGGAAGATGCTCCATCAGCCCCCAGCTTCCCTTACCTCTTGAGCTGGCTTCTCCTCTCCCTCCATGATAGGACAGCAGCTTCCTGATTGATGCAGGATGCCTGAGGAATACAGACATAGCTCTTACCCGGGGCCCCAGAAGCAGGATCAGGGATCACTGTGGCAAAAGGACTGGGTCCATGCTATTTGAGGTCTAGGGTTCTTTTGGGATGTGCCAGACTGATGAGTGTCCAGTCCCTGGCACACGGGCTTCAACCCACAAAGGTGCAAACATAGTGAAGCTAACCTGCACCTCTCTGAGGAGTTGTACTAACTCCTCTGGGGTTATTGTAGGACACAGTGCTGCGGCTGCTATCCCCATGCTGGGAACCCCAGAGCCTTTTGGGAAAGCCACTTCAAGGAAACCCTCCATTCTTTTTATAACGATGGCCACAACCATTTGGCTATGAGCCAGATGGAAGACTAAGCAAGAAGACAGCATCCTGAGGAGCCAAGATAATTTTTCCAGTTTAAAAGACAAAGAAACCTAACATGGAAGAAACTGCATTAGAAACTTGACAAGGGGTAGTACCCTGGTGACCAGTCCACGGCATTGCGGTTCCTTACTGTGTCACTGGGAGCCCCAGGGTTGGGGACCCAGAGTGCCAGATGGCACAGAGAGAAGAGTAACACACTGTCCAAAGGGGACAAAGGCAGCTCCAAACTATGGCCCAGCAAGGTCACCAGACTTCATGTATGTGCCAGTGGTCAGATGCCGCCGACCAGGCAGATGTATGTATGTATGTATGTATGTATGTATATATATATAGTGTCTTTGTGTGTGTGCCTGTATGTGCACATGTGTTTGGGTGCCAGTGGGGGACACAAGCGACAGATTAATCTGGAGCTGGAGTTACAGGTGGTTGTGAGGTAACTGATGTAAGTGTTGAGAACTGGATTCAGGTCCTCTGCAAGAACAGTATGGTACTCTTTATCTGCTAAGCCATCTCTCCAGTCACCCCTCCCAACTATATAAGTCTTAGTAAAAACATGTAAAGGTATATCAATTCCATGCTGGTGGGTTTCATGAATTACAGACGCTATTTCCTCAAACAAAATAAAATCATCAATCATAATGTACATGTTACTTATAAACATTATATTTGATTAACAAAGTGTGTGAATCCAAATATGTAAACATCCACAGGATCTGAGCACTCAGGACAGAAACACTTAGCAGACACAATGGTCCTGGCTGGAGAAAGCCTTTAAAAATGACAAACCTATTGGAAAAACCTGACCCTGGGCACAGTAATGTTTTCAAGAATTTTTATTATTACCAAATATGTATATTTGTGTGCCTGTGTGTTTTGTGCACATGGGTACAGTACCCACCTGATACCTCTAAGAGCAGTACTTATGGGGAACAGTGGTGCACACCTTTAACCCCAGCACTCAGGAGGCAGAGGCAGGTGGATCTGAGTTCAAGGCCAGTCTGGTCTACAAGGCGAGTTCCAGGACAGCTAGAACTATACAGAGAAACACTGCTCTACTCCCCCCCCCCCCCAAAAGAGCAGTACATGTTCTTACCTCCTGGGTTTTGTAATGTTTTTCATGTTTAATGTTTAGAATTCTAGTTTTCCTTCAGCTATGGCAAGAAAGGGTGATTCTGCTTTGGTGTGTTTGAGTGCTGAGGGAAATGTGCCCTGGAAGGAGCTGGGTCAGAATGGGGGGATGGTAAGATGACAATGGTCCCCACAGACCTGGGGACTTTCTGGGCTCACTTTGACCTACCACTTTTATCTGCACACTTCTTGGAACTTTCAGCCCCCCACCTACAGTCTCCTCTAGTCCTGCTGATAAATGTGATTCAGGGGTCTCTCTGGGTGTAATCAAACCTCTAATGCTGTGGTCAATATTAAAATGAGGGCAGGAAAGAGGAACTGGAGCAGGGCCAGCAAGGGTTACAAGGTAGAGGGCAGCAGAGACCATGAGACAGCCTCTGAAACCATGTGCTTCTGGCCTTATGGAGCTTCCCGCTGTTCTAGGGGCAAGCAGAGCTTACCATACTGCTCTGCCCTGGGGTCTCCCTTCTCCCTAGTCTGGAGCCTATCCTAAAATGCCCCCTGGACATTATAAAGGTTGGCACATTTGGGAAGAGTCATTGCTGACTCAGGGCCTGGGCATAGCCAGGACTACACTAGACCCCATTGCATCTGCTCATAGTTTCACCACAGGGCTCTCTTTTCAATTAACAGAATAAAAAGCTTCAAAGAAACAGGAAAGGGGAGATGTGCTGGGCCAGCTTGGGAGAATCTGCCTTCCAGGACATTGTAGGGATTGTCCCTCTCACTCCATGGAACCCCAGGCAGGGGTGGGGAGTGTAACCCAAACAGCGACCAACAGTGAAGGAGATGATCATCCGTGGTCTGGCTGAACATATGGAAGCAAACCAGTAGTACTAACAGCAGCACCAGGCTGCTGAAGCAAGAAATGAAAACTTACAACATCCTGCCTAAGTGGGAGGGGCAGCCAGAGCAGCAGCGAATGGGAAAGGACCACATCATCTCTGCCTGCCCTGCCCTTTCAGAGGTGGGGCGGTTGCAGGTTTGCAGTTAGCTTGGTAGATCTACCCTTCAAAGCTTGCTTAGGGTGCCTCTGAGCCTTTGAGGAGTATGGAGGCCACCAAAGCTGGAATACTAGCTCAAGATAGCTGTGCAAAGTCTCTGGCTGGTCCACAGCAGGGCTGATTTCACCTCCAGTCACCCCAATTGTGTGGTAGGTGGAGGAGCCCACAGGCTGGTCAAGAGCCAAGCTCTGACACCCAAACACAATACCAGGGCCCCTTGTGGCTCCCAGGCAGAGTAGTGCAGAAGGGAGGGCATGTCAGGCAAGAAGGCCACTGACAGCTTCCCCCAACCCCTGGCCAGAAGCCTGTGATTCTGAGTCCCTGCCACTATCAAATCCACACATTTTCCAATCCTTTGGCTTCCTGTCTCTCAGATGCAATATTATTAGGATACGAATACCTCTTTTCTCTGCTAACTATTTATGACTGAGCAACAGAGACAGACCCCCATTTTCACACCCACCAAACATCCAGCCACCGAACCTGCACTATGCTTGCCATGTGTGCTTTCCAGACATACTCAAGTCACAAGAAGAGACCTCCCACTGTCTAACCTCCCCAGGGAACAAATCTCTTCATAAATCTCCAGTAGTTAGCAGTTTCTAGACCTATTCCTGGCCAAGACCACACTGTAAACTTTTCCAGGGTAAAGTCTGAGAGCTGGTAAAGCGGGCCTCCAACCAGCTCTTCTTGCTGAGCAGGACTGGGAGATGCTGTTCCAGGCCTGCTACCAACCAGGCAAGATGCTTCTATATGCCAAACACCTGAACTTTTAGCATATGCTACATTTTGAGGGGAACTAGGCTTAGATTTTTGAAAATTCACAGCCATCTATGGCTTTAAGAGTAAAAACGCTGGCTCAAAGGGCAGGAAAGTCCGATTCATGTCAGGGCTCACAGGGAGACAGTGCGCTGGCATACTAGCTCAAAGTAACCAGAGGTTCTGCATTGAATGCAGACCCATTTCAGATAGGCTCCCCACCTGCCCAGCCTGGGTCCTATTAATACAAACTAAATGTATCCTCTTACCGAAACCATACACTGAAAACCTGCGCCTCAAAGTAATGACATCAATAGGCAGAGGTTTTAAGGGGTGAATGGATTCAGATAAGGCCATAAGGAAGATCCCATGATAGGATTGGTGTCCTTATAAGAGACACTAAGGAGCCGCGAGAACACAATGAGAAGGGGCCTCTAGGAGCCGGGCAGCTGTCAATCAGCAACCCAAAAAGATTAGCATTCGTCCTTGGATTCACAGTCTCTACAAGTCCGAGAAACAGACGTTTGTTAAATTTCCCGATCTACAAAACCCCATCACCACCCTGAGCTGACACACCCATCCTACTCTTCAATCTCTGAAAACCTGCTTCTCAGACGACCACGACCAGGTGAACTACTAGACAAGCCTTCATTGCCTACTCAGAGAACCAAGAAAGAAAGAAGTAACGGTGCCTAAAAGCCCTGGCCGCCTCTTGTTCGTTTCTGAAGCCTGGGCACTACCGGACCCAAGAAAACCTGCTGCAACAAAACATATTTTACCCAAGTGTGGCCGAGCTGAGGGCCGGAAGAGGAAACACATCGGAGGTGAAGAAGCCTTAGCCAGTCCTCCCGGGACCTAGTTTCTGTTCACCTGGAGACAGATGCCCTGTAGGGGCCTGCAGGCTCCTGGAGCCGTCCACTCTGCCAGAGCCTGGCATCCTGCCCACAGTACCACGGCCACCGCAAAGACGAGCCTTCTTAGAGAGGCAAGAGAGGGAGGCCCGGGGACCGCAGTCTCGTCAGACCAGCGAACCTGCAGCCCCTCCGCTGGAGGAGCACGGAAGCTTGGAGACGAGCTCACTTCTAAAGAAGCTCTTGACGTCCCAAAGCCAGCAGGGCGCTTCTGAGCGTCCGGGTTGTTTCTGGGACTCGCGATCCCAAGAAAATCTACACCGTCCTGCGCCAGCCTGACCCGGTGGGATGCGTGCCCCTGGTCGGTCTCCGTAGTCCCCACCTGCAGCTCGCGCCCTCCCGCACGCGCCTTCCAGGCGCGACGAGTCCCCGCCCGCCCGGCCAGGCCACGGCGTACCGAGCGAGGCGGCGGCGCTCCTCAGCCGGCCTCCATGCGCGCGCCGCCGGGCTGACGGGGTGGGCCGGGGCGGGGCGGCCGGACGGGCCGGACAGGCCGAGGGTGCAGGCCGCACGGCATGCCGGGAAATGCCTCCCAGGGCCGCGCGCGCGCGAGACCCCGCCCCCGCCGGGTCTAAGCGCAGGGTCCCGCCTACCGGCCCGACGCCCCCAGGTCCTAGAGAGCAACCGGGGACACTCTGCGGGGTGCTGGCCCCACAGCCAAGTCTGTGCGATGGGGCTGCGTTCTTTAGGTGTCCACACGGTGGCCTAGCGTTCAGGGAACAGTCCGCAGCGCTGGAAAGGGACAGAAACTAGGGATCGTAGGATGCGCCCTTATGGCTTCCTTGGAGGATCGCACGCTGCGAGGTGGAGAGGCTCAAGGACAGGACAAGGAGCAAGAAAGCTGGCCAAATCACCTCGCGAGTTCCGCTGCACTTGACCGAGTCTGGAAACTGCGGGGTCTCTGGGTGGGCGGGGCCCCAGTGACAGCCTGGCTAGTGCCCAGAATCAGGGTAGCCAGTCTCCAACTGCACTTTGGAACAGGACAGGGGGTGGGGCCAGTTGGCCCACTCAGGCCGGGTCTCGAGGCTGCAGAGGGCTGCTGGTCCTCCCGCCCAAGGTTGGTGAGTGGATGGGAGAAGCCAAGTGGAGTCAGAGTGGACATTTCTCCGTCTGAGTGCCCCAAGACCAGCTATTGTAGGGACAAGACAGCGACAACCCAGAGCAGGCCCTGACAGACCTTCCAAACGGGGAGTAAGCTCCGCTCATTTCTCAACTGCCCCATATACAACCCTTTCAGACTCCAAGAGAGGAAAGGTTGCAGCCCTGGCCCTGGGTTTTGGAAACCCTGCCTTTGATATTGGTCCTCTGAATGGCCCTTCTAGAACCTCGCTAGCGCAAGGGAGTTAATCCTTTCTGCACCAGCAGGCTGTTACCATGGAGAAGAGTGGCAGGTATTTGCTGTGCTACTTGTCACCAACTCCCCCATACAGCTTCTTGATCCCCCAAGGAGCCTGGCTTCCAGGTGACCTCTGCCTTCCTTGCTCCTTAGCGACACACATCTTTGTTCTGGGGATCTCGGATCTGTCCCTGTTGATCACGACTTTCATGCCTGTGCTTTGTGGTCACCTCTCCTCTTCTGGCTTCCTCGGCCACATTCATGCAGCTCAACAGAAGGCAGGGATGGGCTTAGGGCTGAGAGGCTGCCAGCCCTTCTCTACTTGGTCGCAAGGCACAGTGAGTTTACTGTCCCAGTACCTGTACTGTCTGGTTGAAAAGCTCAGTGCTAGGCTAGTGCCAGGAGGGGCCTGGATTCCAGTTCTCGTTTGGATGGTTCCCCCTGAGCCTGTCCTTTGTCCTTTTCTGCGGGCAGACTATGGTGCCACCTCCTGTTTGCCCTGCCTAGGGAAAGGGGGAAGAAGGCAGAGGACATTAAATGGGGTGACATTTAAAATTAGATGCTGACCCTGAAGTGCTAGAATTCTATTTCGGCTAAGTGGCTGTTGGGGGAAGGAAGGTGATGAAAACCAGAGATGCCCTCTAGCCTGCTGGTGTCTACAGGGGCCAGAAATAGGAAATGGTGTCTGGGGGGGGAGCATTTCGAGCCATAACCGGCAGGGAAACTGTGGCAGACCCCCAGCTGGGAGAGCCCAGGTCTCCCCTATATCTTAGACTTTGCTTGGGAGAACAGCATGCTTGCTTGGATTCCAACAGCTGCTCCCGTGTGCTTTTTGTTCGAGCGGGTTCTGGTCTGCCACGAGGCGAGTGGGTTACTTGTCACAGAGTTGGCCAGATGGGAGGAGGCTGCGTTGTTTGGCAGAACAGCCACTGGATGGGCTTTCTGAGGTGAGTCATACAGGGAGCCAGTGCAGGCGAGGCTTGCCCTGAAAGGGTTCAACGTGGCCAGAGCCACACAAGAGAAAGGAGCTTTCTGAAGCCACTGTGAGTGCAGAGTATGGAAGGCTTTCCCGGGTTCCCAGTTAGCTTTAAGGGGTGCCAATAGGAAAGCTCAGGTTTGAGAACAGCAGAGACAAGCTGAACCAGACAGGCCCCACAGAAGCAGAGCTGGGGTAGAGGCCAGAAAGGGAGCCCGAATTGGCAAGGGGCTCAGCTCAGTGTGACCCCAGGGATCACAACAATTCTCTCTTCAGATCCTTGGCCATCTGCTTCCAGAAAGGTAGACTAGCTAATGGGAACATGGTGCCAGAGGACACTGCTGAGGAGTGAGGGGGTAGTATGCCCAGGACCACCACGATGTCAGCTGCTGCAGGACACTGACTTGAGCCCCTTCTCCAGAAGCAGCCCCTTGAAGGTCAGCTCCACACAGAAAGACAACCTTGTTTACTCATCTCACCAACCTCTTCCAGACAGGACTCTCCTGAGAGGTCCCTCTAGGCTTAATCCAAGAATAGAGGAGAGAGTGGCCACTTTATTGGCCTTGGTTCTCCCAAAGAGCAGCTGTGGCTCCAATTGGTCCAGCCTCTCCCATGTCTACTTCTGCCCTGTATAAGCTCTGGGACAGCAGTCCTGCCCACTGTCTGGGCATTCTATGGTCTTCATGAACGGGGAAACAGGGCCTCTGAGGAAAGTCAAAGCAGCTGGACTTGGTACCACACAGACCAGCAGCTCTCTAGAGTCTCCTCCTCTGAGCCAAGCCCCTGGGTGTTCAGGCTGAGCTGAAGTTGTGGGGAGTGGGTAGAAGACATGCAGGGTGCACTAGGTACCATGTGCAGGAAGCAGATGTGAGCGGAGAGGGCCAGGGAGCAGGGAAGAGGCCAGCACCCTGCTTTTTTTTTGTTTTTGTTCCTTTAGCTGCCATGCCAATTTGTGGGTGTGGGTCTTCTCCAGGGAAGCCAGCAGCCTAGGGGCAGCCTGCTGTTCTCCCAGGGTTCCTTTGGGTCTCAGAAGCCCCTTCCTAGGATGTGTGGAAACGTTGAGCGCTACCTGAGACGCCAGGGACGGTGTCCAGCATTAGCTTAGGGTGGGCTTTCCGAGGACAGCGTGCATTTTCTGTATTATACTGTATGTATTATTTGTGGTTTTGGTTTGACTCTGAGACAGAGTCACACTATGTAGCCCTGGCTGGCCTGGAACTAGTTATGTAGATGAGGCTGGCCTCAAACTCAGAGAGATCTGCCCATCTCTGCCTCCCGGATGCTGGAATGAAATGCTATGGTACCACATCTGGCTGACTTCTATACTCTGATCTGCTGGCCTGGGAGCTTTGCCGGCTCTGGACAGGTGCCCATCTCCAAAGGCAGACCACTCCCCAGAGCTGGCAGGTAATACTATGAGCGGTGCCCATCACTACCCCTTCCCCAGTCTGGGCCACTATCCACCTGCTCCCCCAGTCACTCCAAGGCAGGAATTAGGCATAGCTGTGAGCCCAGCGCCCATGGAAGCTATCCATACTGGATGATCCTGTCTTTCACTTGCCCATAGTGCCTCACCCCGGTGCTCTCTGGTGTGTGGCCCTGTGTGATGTGGGGTGTCCCCTCTATTGTCTGTGAGCAACAAACGCCCTTTCTATGGCAGGCATCTGAGCTGAAGGTGTAACTCAGCGATAGAACACTTGCTTAGTACTTGCAAGCCCCGGGACTGGCGTCTAGCATCCCCCCAAATAAATCAATGGGGGCAGGGGTCCTGTGATCTGTTTTAGCCTTAAGTGGATAAGAAACCATCTTAAAACAAATAATCTAATCAGAATGTGGTCTCTGCATGGTCAGCATGCTTAGGCTTTGACGGTGGCAGTGGCTGCCGCAGCAGAGGACATGGGAGCATTTTGTCCTGCCCACCTTGGTATTGCCCCATGGCTAGTTAAGGAGCTTCCAGGAGGCAGAAGCCAGACAGAGGTGGCTGTCCTGACCTCAGCTGGCTGACCTCTCCCCTTTGATATACACCCTATAACCCCGATGTCTTATGAATTCCTGGCCTTGCTTCCTCAGTCTTCAAGGAGTCTCTTGTTCAGACCCACAGGGTCGCCTACCCTGGCCTGCAGGGCATGTGGCTCTCGAGGGTCAGCTTTGTCTCACTGAACCCTGGACCTTCTAATGAACAGGGTAAATGCATCCTGACCACAGTCAGGACCTACCATCCAAGAGCTCTTCCTGGATCCTGCCACCTTTGTGGTCACTGGTCAATGGCCTGAGGCCAAGCTGTATGTGGTGGTTTGAAGAGGAATGGCCCCCGTGCGCTCATGTATTTCAATGTTTGATTCCCGGCTGGTGGACTGTCGTGGAAGAATCTGGAAATGCGGCCTTGTTGGAGAAGGTATGTCACTGGGGTGGGCTGTGAGGTTTCAAAAGCCAGACCCACTCTCTCCCTGCTTTCTGCCTGCAGATCAGAATGTCGCTCTTAGCTACTGCTCCTGTGCCATGCCTGCCTGCTGCTACGCTCCCCGCCATGCTGTTCTGAAGCTGTAACCGACCCCCGACCCCCCGAATAAATGCTTTCTTCTTTAAGTTGCCTTGGTCAAGGTGTCTCTTCACAGCCATAGAACAGTGACTAAGACACTATATTCTTCCCCAGAGAGCTCTCTTCATCTCTGTCCTCCCACAGCCCCACAGTGCAGCACCCCATGGCCCCCCCTCCTCACACTTCTGGGAGGAGGCCTGATGTTCTTGCATCTTGGGCTGCCTGGCCCTGCCCACCGTTTCCCAGTGGCTCCAAGAGATGCCCAGGTGCGGATGGGTGTTGCAGGCTGGGCAAGCAGCACTAGTAGAGGGAGGCAGGGCCTCAGAGCACAGGGAGTTAGCAGAATAGTATTTATTGATATGCTCAGTGCTACCTTGTTAATACTTCGTCACGTGGCGCGTGGCTGAGGTAATAGGGGTGGGGCCAGTGGGGCCTGGACTCCCATGGGAAGCAGCCCAGCCGGCAGCTGGGGACCCGGGAGGGGGATGTGGTTATTGCGTTGTATTTCCTCCCTCACTCGCACCCTGGTGCCTATGCCTACTCTCACCCACTGCTCACGTGGGTGCCATTCGCACACTCACACACACTCAGGCTCACTCACACCACACTTGCCCCCTAACTTGCTCATGAGCTTGCTTGCGCGTGGGCACTGTGCCCTCTGGCAAACTCAGGCACTCAGGCAGGGGCTCATACCCACACCTGCTGACCTGCACGCTTGCACCCACCGCTGCGTGCGCCACTCACACAAACCACCCTTTGCTTGAAATGCACCCTAATTCTCCTGATGATAAATAAGCTCGTCAGTTACAGTAATCATAGTAAAATAAAGTGTGTGTCAGGCTATGAGGAGAAAGTGCATGTTGATTTGGACCTGGGGCAGCCCTCGGTTCTCCGACCTGAAGGCATCAGGTCCCTCTGCAGGGGCCAGGCCCTTAAATGAGTGACCCCTGTGGGGGGGTCTGTCCTGAGGCCAGTGCCACGTTTCTCAGCATCTCCCTTACACACTCTAGGCTGGGCCTCACTAGGTCTGCTGAGCTGTCTTAGCACACAACGAAACCCACAAGAAAAATAAACTCTCCCGCTTGCGGCCCAGTACGCAGCGGGGGGGGGGGCCTGATGCTGGGGGGGCATCCTACCCCCTACCTGGCGCTCTTGCCCCAGCCTGCACCTGTGGATGCCATGGTGAGCCAGGTGGAAGGAGTGCTGGGCCCCGTGGCATGCAGACAGGAGGCTGGGGGTGTGGGCAGTACCGGGTGAGCCGAGTTCAGGTCTACTCAAGGCTAGGCTCAGCTGGGCCATCCCTGGCTCATGCAGAGAGTTTTTGGCGGCCTGGGAGGCCCTGCCCCTCAAAACTCCACAGTACTCACAACTGTCCTTGGCTCCTCGAAGGTGGCGATGAGGATCTGCTGGGGTGGGGGAATGGTGAGGAGGTCGCCCATGTCTGAGGGTGCACAGGGACCTCCATCTTCCTCTTCCCGGGCCTCATACAGCGTGCTGATGTGGAGCAGGGGGTGAGTGGCATTTCGGCTCAGGATGGTGAGGGGGTCAGCCTTGCCCAGACTGCCTGGTGACAGGGGGGCGGCAGCAGGAGCCGCGGGGGGTGAACAGACGTGAAATGGGCCCCCAGATGGAAGCCCTGGCAGGGCAGGCTCTGTGGGGTATGGGAGTTCCTTCTCGGGGGGTGGAGCATCTGCAAACAGACAGGAACACAGGCATTTCACCATCTAGCTCATTCCTATAGCCCTCCCAGTGCTACCCATGGGACCTGCTGGGCCCCTAGCATCCACGGATGGCAGGCGCCCTTGCACTTAGCAGCCTGCCTGGCTAAGTCTCACTGTCTAGAAATAGCAGGGCTGTTGGTGGAACATCCCCCACCCCCTGAAGCGGCTCACATCTGCCTGAAACCCGTATTGACCAAAGAAGATATGTTCCCTGGTGACTGCAGTCCTGCCTTCCTCCTCATCCTCTGCCTTATGGGAGGCCTGCCCCTCACCTTAGGAACAATGCACCAGCTGGTTAGCCTGGTTGCCACTTCATCTACATTGTTCTCTGGTGCTTTCTGCCCTGTGCCCTAGACACAGGGACTGCCATTTTCCTGCTCAGGGCTCCCTGGGAATCTCCGTCCTGCCCCATTCCCCAACTGCTTGGCTTCCTACCTTTGGTGGGTGCTGCAGCTAGGCCCAGCCCACATTCTTCGGTCTGGGACAGAAAGCCACCTTCTTGGCTCCGGGAGGCTGGTAGGGCAGGGGGAACTGCTTCAGTCTTGGCCTTCTTGGTACCTAGAATGTAGGGATGCACATCCAAGGAGAAGTGACGAGTATGTTTCTTGTCAGAGGCAGCAGGTGGGGCAGGGGAGGGGCCTGGATCACCTCCACCACCCTTGTAGTGGTGGGCAGCCCGGGCACCAGCATCCAGGAGCGGGGCAATAAGCGTATCTGTGGCTGTCTTCCTGCGTACGGGCTTGGGCTTCTCGGCCTTGCTGTTTTCCACCCGCATAATGGCCAGCTGCTCCTTGAAGGGCTGTGGCAGCGGGTTGCTGGTGGGGATCCACTTCATTTTCTTACGGGGCCGCTTGACCACAGGTGGCTCAGCCGAGCCATCAGGCTCCGCAGGGTTGATACTGGGGTCCACAGTCTGGATGCCTGAATCCCGCACAGTGGGCGTGGTGTCGTGGTTAGACTGAGCCAAGGCTGCCAACAGCTGCCGCACCACGTTGTCGTACATGAGGTCACTCTCGTTGGTGATGAAGTCCAGCCGATTGAGCGACTTGATGTGGTCACGGTTCTCGTTGCAGAACATGGCCAGGATGTTGATGTCGCAGAACTGTGAGCGCCGCCACTGCCGGCGCGTCTTGATGCCCACCTTGTGGAGTTTGTCAAAGATGAAGTTGCTCTTGCGGAAGATGAAGAGGTGGATGAGGTTGACTAGGATGATGAGGTTCATGAAACAGAGCAGGACAATGTCCACACCTGCAATGATCCGCTGCAGTTGCACGGATGGCAGCTTGCAGCTGACACGCACCGTGGGCCCAGGGCTACCCACGGGCCCGTCAGGTGAGGCACCCAGGGCACAGGTGAACTCATTCTGCTTCTGGGTAGCATAGTAGGTGCATAGGTAGGAGATAGGCACCACGCTGAGCAGCAGGATCAGTACATGCCGTGCCAAGTACAGCTTGGCCAAGAAATTGCTGCGGCCCCGGCGCTCCAGGTACTTCTCAAACAGATTCTGCTCAGGGCTCTTCTCCTTTTCGGCATTCTCAATGATCTCCCGCTTCTCCCGCTCCGTAATGCCCGGCCCCTTGGACTGGATCTGCTTTTCGATCTTGGGAGCCCGGCCCTCAGCCGCTCGGTGGTAGCAGTTGTCGATCTCCTGAAGCAGGAAGTTGAGCTCGGAGGTGAGGCGCGTGGAGGCCAGGAACTCCCAGCCCAGGGCGGGTACATACATGATGGCGGCAAAGGCCAGCAGCGCGTAGGGCAGGAACTTGTGCTCAAACAGCGATGGCCACAGGCTGGCATCCACGCCGGGCAGCGCGTCCCGCAGCTCTGTCCAGCAGTAGCCACGGGCGTACAGCGCCTGGTCACGGGTGAAGTTGTGCGGAGTGTAACAGTAAATTGGTTCCTCTGAGGGTAGAGAGGAGACATGGGCTAGGGCAAGAGGTGGGAGTAGCCTGAGGAAGACCAGGTCTTGGGATGAAGGGCATGAGATAGACCCGATCCCGTATCTGCTCAGACTTATCCCCTGTGCAGGTGGCTGGGCTCTCTCATGGCCATGGACTCTATAGCCCCACCCATAGAGCTGCTTGCCTTATGCCAGGGCTGTTGTTTCCCTCACTGTGTCCCAAGTGCTGTGTTGTGTGTGTAGTTCCTGTTCTTACAAAGTAGTTAGCCAGTGCTTGTATGCACTGAAGAACTGACCAGAGCTGGTCTAGAAAGGCCACAAAGATCTTTGGGCTGACAAGGGAGGGGGACTTGGTTGGGGGAGGGGGAGGGAAAGGGGAGGCGGCAGTGGGGAAGAGACAGAAATTTTTAATAAATAAATAAATAATAATAAAAAAAGAAAGGCCACAAAGACTGTATGTACAGGACAAACCAAGGTATAGAGAGGATCATGACAGGCCATGTCGGCAGCCAGGGTTTCCCTTTCAGCATCCCATAAGGATCAAAAACCAATCCCGGCCACTGGCTTTGCACTGTCAGGACTGGTGGCCTGGATGCTCCTCTCTAGCCAGAGGCAGTCACATAAGTCCAAATTCCGTGAAAAAAAAAAAAAAAAGATTGTCTAAGACCGGTGAAAAGGGTCTCACAAGTCCCCTGACCTGGAGGAAGGGCAATGTGGGAACTCTGGATGCTGGTGGACACGGACAGGGGACGCTCAGTGGCTGGATGCATCTGCTACTGAAAACGAACAGGGCCTGTTTGCATTTAAGCGGGTACACATGCTCGCACCAGGCCAGGCTCAGCCTTGTGCTGCAATCTTACGCTTGTAATTCACTTCCAGAAAACTTGGAGGCTCAAAGTCCACGAGATTGGGTCATGATCCCTAGGTACAGACCATGGCCGCCTGTGGCATTAACCCAAGCCAATTCCTCCTTAGCCAGCTCTTATCGTCAAGCCTGACCCCAGGGCAGGTCAGTTAGAAGCCTCTCCTGCTCCGGCTTAAAGCCCTTCATCAGTGTTGAGATCAGGAAGTAACACAATCTAATTGGCTAGTCTGTCTGTACCTAGTCTCGAGTTAATGCAGATAGGGAGATGGCAGAGACCCAGCCCAGCTGGAAGAGTTTGAATATGGCTGAGTGGTGTCAGTGCACACATAATCCCAGCATTTGGGAGGCAGAGGCAGGTGGATCTCTGTGAGTTGGAGGTCAGCCTGGTCTACAAAGAGAGTTCCAGGACAGCCAGAGCTGTTGCACAGAGAAACCCTGTCTTGAGCCCCCCATGGCCCAAGTTTGAATATGAAATTTTCTGTATAGGCTCATGCCTTTGAACATCTGTGCCCATCGGGTAGCACTGTTTTGGTCGGTTTGTGGCATCTTTGGGAGGTGGGGTCT